TTTAGGTCTATCTATGGCCTTCAAAAAGTTGACGACTCTACATGTTTCGACGTTACAACGTTACTCCTGAGGATGACGTAACGTCAACTTTTTGAAGGCCATAGATAGACCTAAATAAAATGTTTTTAATTGTGTACCAGTTTAACGTTGAATATTATTTATGATTTTAAATGGCTGTTAGCCTAGTTGGTTTTGATGTTCAGACAAAATGAACGTTTATTTCGCAACGTAACAATTGTACACATTTATCTAGGGGCTACAGTACTGAAACACACACATATATATATTTCTGAACTTATAACTAACATTCTATTCCTGGGTTAAAGGAACAGCTCGGTGCGTGTTTTTGTACCGCAGTCCCCTTTTAAAGACGTCCATGCGAAACGTTGGGATATGAAGGTTTATTTCATCAGAAGTCTAAGAACGTCCAATTACTCTAGAATGTGAAATATGTTTCAGTTCACATTATAACAACTACTATCTAGACAACTAATCACGTCATACAGTTCAAAGAAACATACAAATCCCTTTTGGTGGCAGGTACTTCTAGCTGATCAGTAATTGTAATTAGGTGCATATATTCCTGAACCTCGGGGGGGTCTCTGACCGTTTACATCACGTACGCATAAAATTCCGTTGAGTTTTAAAAGGGGGAGTCTTTTTCTTTTAAGATATACTAATTATTCTCGATTTCCATATGCAATTTATTTTGATACTGTGATCCAAACATGGTTGTTTTATTAGTGAGAAGAATTTAAAATATACGACTTTGTTTTTAACATAAAAATGGTCATAACGAGCATAGTACTGTTAGTTCGTTTTTAACAAGTTGTTTACAATAAAGCAGTTAATTAATTATTAAGTAGTACGCTTTAGAATTTTAAGTAAATAAAATAATAAAAATAAGAGCTTGAAGTGTAATACACCCATAATAAATCGAACCTGCCTGTCTTAGTAGAAGACACAGGGGGTGGTGTAGCTTATGTGGTCAGATCCGAATGCCGTCTAACTTTATCACACCATGGAGGCCCTAACATTACAAGTCCAGCTTGGTGACTATCAATATAACGGTTTGCCAGTTATAAGCGGATCCACACACAGAGAGCCATTTTTCAAGTAATGGTTTAGATAAACTAAGTTAACGTTCAGATCATAGCCTCAGATTATCTCCAGTAAAATAGAATACAGAACGTCTTATTGAAATCTGGACTTATCAATATGGTTAATATGTAACGTTTAGGTATTGAAAATATGAGGAAGAGATTAATAATTCACTTGTTCCGGAACGCTTAGACCAACATCGCTATATGAGACGAAGCGTGGCTCGGTGGCTAGCGTGTCAGTTCGTGAACCCAAAGATCCATGTTTTGCAACCCGTTGCTGTAAAATCACGCTCCGGCGCATTTGATCAGTGATAGGGATGCTATAAGACTGACAGTTAAATCTCACTATTTGATTAGAGTAGCCCAAAAGTTGACGGTGTGTGCTATTCACTAGTTAACTTTCCCTAGTCTATCAGCTCAAAATTAGAAACAGCTCGGGAGGATATTCCTCTTGTGGTTTTGTTTCACGTTAGGTGGAGCCTCGGGACTAAACAAGACAAAAAAAAAAGGTTCAAACATGGTTACCGTATATAACCAGAGAATTTTAGCAAGTGTAATTAAATATTTGACGGGGTGATGGTTTGTTTTCGAAAATTTGTGTACTGGTAATAACGTTAGCATACTTAAGTTATAACATCAACTTGTAAGTCACTGTAGATCATAAAAGGCTTAGTGGAGGACTAAAGATCTAATGCCCCCAGTAACTCAACGGCAAGTCTGAAGGTTCATAACACACAAATTTAGGTTTCGATAACCGTGGTGGGCACAGCACAAATAGCCCATCTAATAGAGATGCTTATTAAAACCAAGTTAATAAAAAGTAATTTTTGAAACACTTCTCCAGTATAAATAAAAAAGTCATGCTTTGCCTGCGAATGGTATGTACGTTGTAGACTGTATATCTGTATCACATATACGATACTGGTTGCGATACTGGTTGTTATATCTGTATCACATATAACAGTAGTTGATCTTCTAACAGGAGTCATTAGTTATTGGTTCCGTTGTCTGATAATCCGTCATTTCTGACGTTGTAAATGTCTGTATGTTGAGATATATCCATGAGAACTAATAATGGTCATTCTACTTCTATTAGCGTTCACTTGGCTTCAATAGACATCGTAATGATTGGAAACTTGACACAGTTTAACATCGCTGTAATGACGGGGTGTGTGTGTTTTCGAAATTGTGAATGTTTAGAGTATCAGGGCTATCGGGTGTTTCCGGTGGACTGTTTTCACATATCTTTAATACAAGATAGACCTAGATATTCTTAATGTAAGTAATTCAAGGTAGATCCATAACATGGTTAATACAAAAAAAAAAAAGATCCATGGCACAAAAAGCTCGTATTATAATTCATATGAAACAGATATCTAATACAAACAGAACGAGGTGGATCCGTTCTGTAATTACTATAAAAACCGTCTTATAAACAAGGCAAATCATATCTGTGAAAAGAAACCCCATGATATGATTAATACAAGGCAGATCCGTTACAACTAAAGTGTGCTCGTAATACGATTGGAGTGCAGGTTTACCCTGTGGTTGAACTCTGGATTTCGGACATCGAATATATATACCACACCCAAATATTCCACATACTTTAAAACTGTGGTACGTTATTAGGTGACAGTCAATCCCTTAACTTGAATGGTTGTTTTTAGTGTTCTGCTGACCAGCTGACTTGATTCTGGTCATTAGTAGTTCAAAATTAGGGTCTGCGGCTGATAGTCTTAGGAGCTTTGTCATAAATACAAGTACGTAATATAATTGATACATTGAAGAGAATTAATAAAGATAATACAAAGCTTATCTACAATATATTTTAAAATGGTAAATTAATAATTATATAATTACTACAACGTCGTGTCGTACAGTAATAAAGTATCGTCGTTTTCTTGAGAGTCGCCAGAAAATTACACCACTCTGAAGAGTTTTTTTTTTCTTTTTTTTTTCAAGAAAAGCATGTAATGAACTTTTTGAATTAGGGTTATGTCAATGAGTTGTATTAGTGTTATAGTGGGTTATTCTATAGGAAAATCAAGTGTTAGATGCTGAGTTTTTGGAGTAGGAAAATCAAGTGTTAGATGTTGAGTTTTTGGAGTGTCTCATTGTATCAAATATCAATTTGTGGAGGGAGACACAAGACTTGCAAGTACTTGTTTGAACGAGAATTATTCTAAGAACACGAACATTGGACTTTTGGTAATTTTATTTTCTGAAGTTCAAGTGCATGTGATGAGACGTTTTGTTTTGATGAGACATTATACGCTGCCTCGTTTTGTTAATTTTTTAATCAACAGAACTCTAAATGTATATTTTTAAGTTAAGACATTAATGGACAGGTAAAAAAGTTCGAAATAAAACACTCCTTTTTCTGTCTTTGTGACAACATGCTGTGAGAAAAACCGTGCAGGCATATATTTCTGACTGCATGCTGTGAAAACACTAAACAGGCTCTTCTTTGTTACTGCATGCTGTGAGAACACTATAGAGGCATATATTTCTGACTGCATGCTGTGAAAACACTATACAGGCACTTCTTTGTTATTGCATGCTGTGAGAACACTATAGAGTCATATCTTTGTGATTGCATACTGTGATAACACTACAGGCACATATTTGTAACTTCATGCTGTGAGAACACTACAGGCACATCTTTGTAACTGCATGCTGTGAGAACACTATACAGGCATATCTTTGTAACTGCATGCTATGAGAACACTATACAGGCATATCTTTGTAACTGCATGCTGTGAGAACACTATACAGCCATATCTTTGTAACTGCATGCTGTGAGAACACTCTACAGGCATATAACACCTTTCCTCTAGTTTACAGATAGAAATGACAAAAAGTTGCTTTAACAATGATATCTTATGGCTATTTCGTTTCTTTTATCTAGGCATAACATTGGATCCAGAATCCGTGAGTGTATCTGTCCACCAGGTTATGAAGGATCAAAGTGTGAGAAGAGACGTACTGAAGATTCTTCAGACAGAAACGAATATTTCTTAGAAGGTAAGAGCCGTTCGTTTGTTGAATACGAACTGAAACCAGTAGTAGAGTAAAACGGTTCGAGTTATAATTGCTTTGGTTATAAGTTTGTGCACAGCCGTTAAATATAGTGTGACACACAATAAACGTGCTTCAGTGAGGTTCGGTAATCCACTTACGAAGGAGGCGCAGCCAGGTAACACCCCATTTAGAACTGAACACAAAAATATTGGAAATTATTACATTATGCAGGCCCGAGTATGATCTAGTGGTTAGAATATCGAACTGGAGAATCTGAGAGTTTGGGGTTCTAGACGTGATGTAACCAAACACGCCTATTGCTTTCAACTGTGGGTGTATTACAAAAATGACAGTCAGCCACGGTATTTGTTAAGTGTAACCGCTCCAGAAGGTGGGTGCTACTGACTAGTTGCCTTCTCTCTGGATCGCAGGTCAAAAGTAGGGATGGTTATATCTGAAACATAAAGGTATTTGACTAGGTCAATAAACTCACTGTATGTATAAGGTGCCCTTCAGACATTTTGCTATTAGTAAACGCAGTGGAGCCTAACAGTTTGAAACCTTCGTGTTTTTGTCTATAAAATTTGTGAAAAAAATTAGATATAGCCTTAACGTTCTTTTATTTTTTAGCCTTGGTGATCACTATTTAGGTCATGCACTGGCAATTTTATCATGTCTAATATTTATGACATGTTTTTCTTGTACTTTTTCATGAGTTGTTTTCAACGGACTTGTATCATCATCATTTGCATGAGTTATCAAACACAGTCACGTGAAATATATACTAGTAATGGCTGTACAGGATACAGTCGTGTATTGTTATACATATTAATGATCACGATCCAATATGATTGTTGGAACAGATAAGTTTCCTTGTGGAGTAGTATTAATTTCAACATTCGCGATGGGTTGTTCAAGAACATGTGCTGTTATATCACTATATTGTACCACTACCTCCTCCAAACTGGTTTCTTTCAACGATCAAATATCAAGTGTGGTGTAACTTTCAGCCGATGTTGATGTTTACCAAGTACACCACACTTGATATTTGATCGTTGAAAGAAACCAGTTTGGAGGAGGTAGTGGTACCCACCTGATATTTGGCTCGTGAAAACAACCAGTCAGTAGAAAGTGGTGGTACTGATATTAGTGTCCTAGCTAGTAGAAAGTGGTGGTACTGATATTAATGACCTAGCTAGTAGAAAGTGGTGGTACTGATATTAATGACCTAGCTAGTAGAAAGTGGGGATAATGATATTAGTGTCCTAGCTAGTAGAAAGTGGTGATACTGATATTACTGACCTAGCTAGTAGAAAGTGGTGGTACTGATATAAGTGTTCCAGCCAGTAGAAAGTGGTGGTACTGATACTAATGTCCCAGCTGGTAGACAGTGGTGGTAATGATATTAGTGTCCTAGCAAGTACAGAATGTGGTACTGATATTAGTGTCCTAGCGAGTATAAAGTGGTGGTACTAATACTAATGTCCCAGCTGGTAGAAAGTGGTGATACTGATATAAGTGTTCCAGCCAGTAGAAAGTGGTGGTACTGATACTAGTGTCCCAGCTAGTAGAAAGTGGTTGTAATGATATTAGTGTCCTAGCTAGTAGAAGGTGGTGGTACTGATATAAGTGTTCCAGCCAGTAGAAAGTGGTGGTACTGATACTAGTGTCCCAGCTAGTAGAAAGTGGTGGTACTGATACTAGTGTCCCAGCTGGTAGAAAGTGATGATATTGATGTTAGTGTCCTAGCAAGTACAAAATGTGGCACTGATATTAGTGTCCTAGCTAGTAGAATGTGGTGGTACTGATATAAATGTCCTAGCTAGTAGAAATTGATGGTGCTAATACTAATGTCCCAGCTGGTAGAAAGTGGTGGTACTGATATTAGTGTTCCAGCCAGTAGAAAGTGGTGGTACTGATACTAGTGTCCCAGCTCGTAGAAAGTGGTGGTACTGATACTAGTGTCCCAGCTGGTAGAAAGTGGTGATATTGATGTTAGTGTCCTAGCAAGTACAAAATGTGGTACTGATATTAGTGTCCTAGCTAGTAGAATGTGGTGGTACTAATACTAATGTCCCAGCTGGTAGAAAGTGGTGGTACTGATATTAGTGTTCCAGCCAGTAGAAAGTGGTGGTACTGAAACCAGTGTCCCAGCTGGTAGAAAGTGATGATATTGTTGTCAGTATCTTAGCAAGTAC